CCCCAAAATTCATCGTAGCCCCCTCCCCCTCCCTCCCAGCACCACCGCTACCCACCCCGAGCGTAGCCCAGCCCAACACCCCCACCCAGAAGAGCTTAGCACCAGCCCCTGCCCCAGCCCACAGTGGCAACCTGACATCACCCTCCACCTAGAAATGGGAGCACACACCCCCATGCCCTCCTGGGGTGCAATCAGCAGTGGAAGCCATCCCGCCCCCCACCTCCTGGACAAGCTGTGGCTCTGCTCCACCCTGGCTGAGCAGCACCTGCCCCAGACTTGCTCCCTCCCTCATCACAGGAGCCTCAATCTGCACCCCACCCCCTTCCCTTACAATAGACTCACAGGCCGGACCCGGCTCTTCTCCACATTGCTGGGCTGTGCTTCTGGATGCCTGCATACCACACTGCAGCTGCGTGCATGCACTGGGAACTTATTGGCCACGTCAGCCAAAAAAAGCCGATGGCCAATACTGTCAGTTTTCCTTATATTAGTGTCGATCCAATATGGGACCAATGTATCAGTGTACTTCTAATGATTTCAAATTACCTACCACATATGGATCCAAACAGCTATCACGCACTTGCCCATACGAGGTCAACATTGGATTGAAGTGAGCTGTTTTTTAAAGCTTTTGCAATCTTTATTACCTTTTCAGTTGTAGTTTCAAAACAGCAGCAACTGAAGTTACAGGTTCTGGTCAGTGAACCAGCACAGCCACGTCAGTAAAGCCAGGCCACCAACCCTACTCATTCCTGAAAGGACCGGATGTCACAAATTTTTTCCATTAGGAAACAAGGAGACCACAGGTTCTGGTGTCAGGGTATACATGGCGATAAAGCCCAAGATGTGTTGGCTGCCTGTAACAAAACATTAAAAGGATAAAACACCACCGTCTCTGTGTTTGCCTCTGCTTGTCAAGAGTTTCATTTCAGGGAGTTCTGACAAACACCACCTTTGATCCAGAGAACTGTTGAAGATCTAGTGTCACTTGTCTCCATTACACACTTCAGCACTGATCCCACCACTGGATCAGTTAGCCTAGATCAGTGGTTCTCAACCTTTTCTTTAGGATTTGAGGCAGACCTCATTTGGTGCGAGGCACTGCTCTGTAACTTCTGTGAATTGAGCAGCATTCCACTGCAAAAACATGCATTTATTATGGTGCTTCCGTCCTTGCAGAGGGGCCAGGCTGTGGCCCGGCAGGGAGGGGCAAGGAAATCAGCGCAGGCTCAGACAACTGCATGCCCCAGCCCCCGGGGTTGAGAATTACTGACCTAGACACACAGGTCTGAGAAGAGCCCACAAAGTCAAGATCGCTCTGTACTTGTGATCCATCCACTTAAGAACAGAAGAATTGCCACTGACTGGGTCCATCTTGCCCAGTCTCCTACTCATAGGTTCATAGATGTTAGGGTCAGAAGGGACCCGGGCAGATCATCAAGTCCGACCCCTAGCCCTGGGCAGGAATGAATACCCGGCTCATATGACCCTTGGCAAGTTTAAGTTCATATGACCCCAACTAGGTAGTTATCTAGCCTCCTTTTAACGACCCCCAGGGTACGAGCCAGCACCACTTCCCTTGGAAGCTAGTTCCAGATCCTGGCCGTCCTGACTGAAGCAGTGCCTCTTGATGTCTTGCCTGAACTCCCCACACCTTTCTGCCTACCCACTCCCCATCCGAAACCCCAAGTCCCGGGACCTCCTGGCCAACCTCCTCCTGCCCTTGCCAAGCAAATGATCTAACTCACCAGAAAGGAAGCGACCCCCAGGGGCTGCCAGGCTGCCTTCCTATCCCAGACAGGATCCCATCTCCGGGCAGAGTATCACTGGGCAGTGCCCCCGGCTCCTCGGACTCATCTGAGGGCCAGCGCTCTCCGCTCGGTGTCCCCCCTTGGCGCACTAGTTTTAAACCTCCGACCCCCCGCTCCTGTTCCTGTTTTGTTATCATTGCCACTAGCCTCCCTCTCTCAGATGGGGGCTTATCGTTTCCCTGGGTGGGTGACCTCCTAAAGCGGAGAGCAGACCTGGGTCACGAATCCCCACACCTTTCTGTCTACACGGTCTCCTGTCCCGGGACCTCCTGGTCAACCTGCGCCCACTACCGCCCCCGCCAAGCCAATATGCCCATGTCCTGGCCAGGGGGACGCCCGGGACTTCCCCGTCCGTGTCCGGGCAGAGAATCACCGGGCTGGGCCCCGCTCTGGACCTCACTCCCGGCCCTTGTGTCCCAAGAAATGACTCTGGCTCTCTCAGGGCCCCTCCTCAGCTCGGGGAGTGGCTGGCTGTCCTAGCGGGCCTGACCCAGAAGCGGGGGGAGCCGAGGCCCAAGGGACAGTGCGCGGGGCCTGGCCTCCCCGCGGCTCTAGAGACGGAGGGAGGGCCGTGCCCCGGCCCCGCGGCCTGC